AGGTCCAGTGACCCTTCCTCAGAACACAGACCTGCTGAGCTTTTCCAGCAAATTCTGTTTTTGTTTCTGATTTATAGCATCCACAGTTCTTTCAGTTTTTAAAAATTTATATACCTGCTTTTTGCCTACATCCCTTAATTGCTTTGCTTAACAAGAACTCAGCTATCTCAGATTTAAAATTAACAACTGATCTACCATCCAGTGCCGTTTATGGAACAGAATTACAAACATCTCCCACCCTTTGTGTGTAGAAGTACTTCCTAATGTCTTCCTTGAACAGTCTGGTCCTAATTCTCAGAAAATGCCCCCAAGTTCTAGAATCCCCAACTTGTGGAAATAGTTTCTTTATCCACCCTGTCCTTTCCTGTTAACATCTTAAACTTCGATCAAACCTTCCCTTAACTATCTATGTTCTCGAATAAACAGGCCTAATTTGATTAATTGCTCCTTATAACTTAATACCTGTAATATCATTCTTGTAAACTTAAGTTTTACATCCTCCCAGGTCATTGCATCCTTCCTGAGGTATAGTGCCCAGATCTACACACAGTACTCCAAGTGTCGTCTAACCAGGTTTTTTTGTTTTTATAACCACAGCATAACCTCTGCATCATAGAACATAGAATGGTACAGCACAGGAACAGGCCCTTCGGCTCATCAATTCTGTGCCGACTATGATGCCATTTTATCTGTCTGTCTGTGTCTAATTCCACTTAAATGTTACTATCATATCTGCTTCTACCACTTCCCCATTCCAGGCACCTACCACCCTCTATGTTTTTAAAAGAAACTTTCTTCGCACACCTTTAGATTTTTCCCCTCTCACCTTAAACCTACTACTTTTATGTCACCCGTCGGCCTCTGACACTCTACCAAAAATAATCCAAATTTTTTCCAACCTGTCCTTATAGGTAATACAGGCAAAATAGGTAATAAAAAAATTCAGGCTACATCCTGGTAAATTTCTTTTGCACCCTCTCTAAAGCTTCCACATCCTTTAATGTGCTGACCAGAACTGCATGTAATACTCCAAACATAGCCTGACTAAAGTCTTATACAGTTGCAACATGACTTGCCAACTTGTATACTTAATGTCCTGACCAATGAAAGCAAGCATGCCGTTTGCCTTTTTTACCACCTTATCCACTTGTGTTGCCACTTTCAGGGAGCTATGGACTTGTATCCGAACATCTCTCTGTATATCAATGCTCCTAAGAATACTGCCATTTACTGTATACTTTCCTCTTGCATTTGACCTTACACTTGTCTGGACTAAACTCCAGCTGCCATTTCCACACCCAATTTTTCAACAGAGCTATATCCTGCTGTATCTTTTGATAACCTTCCACACAATCCACAACTCTACCAATTTTAGTGTCATCTGCAAACTTACTAATCAGACCACCAACATTTTTCATCCATATCATTTATACATATTACAAACAAACAACAGAGGTCCCAACACTTATCCTTGCAGAACACCACTGGTCACAGACCTCTAAACAAAAAAATACCCTTCCACAATTGCCTCCTGTCTTCTATATATGCAAGCCAATTTTGTATCCAACTTTCCAACTCGCCATGGATGCCATGCTACTCAATCTTCTGGACCAGCCTAACATGAGGGACCTTGCCAAATGCTTATTAAAATCCACGTAGACCACATTCACAGCCCTACCCTCATCAATCATCTTTGTTACTTCCTCAAAAAATTCAAAAGTTTGTGGGACAAGACTTTCCCTCCATAAAGTCATGCTTATCATCCCTAATTGTCCGTTCTTCAACTGCGAGTAAATCCTATCTCTAAGAATCTTCTCCAATAATTTCCCTACAACTGATGTAAAGCTCACTGGCCTAGAATTTCCTGGATTATCCCTATTACCCTTCTAAACAAAGCAATGACATTGGTATTCTCTAATCTTCTTTGACCTCCCCTGTGGTTAAAAAGGATAGAAAGATCTCTGTCAAGGCCCCAGCAATTTCCTACCTTGCTTCCTTCTGTTTTCTGGGATAGATCCCATCAGATCCTGGGACTTATCTACCTTAACATTTTTCAAGACACCCAACCCCACCTTTTCCTTAATATCAACATGCCCCTCCCCAGTCTTACTGTCATCCACATCCTTGTCCTCGGTGAATACTGATGCAAAGTACTTATTAAGGTCCTCTTCCACTTCCTCTGGCTCCCTGCATAAATTCCATCCTTTGTCCTTGAGTGGACCTTAGCTACCCTCTTGCTCCTAATAGATGTATAAAATGCCTTGGGGTTCTCCGTAATCCTATTTGCCAAGGACATTTCAGGCCCCTTCTGGCCTTCCTAATTTCTTGTTTGAATTCTTTTTCTGCTTCCTTTATACTTCTCAAGGGCCTAGGATGATTTTAGTTTTCAAAACCCTACATATGCTTACTTTTTCTTTTTAATTGATCTTCCAATATTTCTTTTTGTCAAGGTTCCCAAACCTTGCCATCCTTATCTTTCATCCTCGAAGGAATATGCCACTCCTGAACTCTGATCAATTCTGGCATTTAAAAAATCTCCCACGAGTCACATGTGGATTTACCTTCAAACAGCCACTCCCAATCTAATTTCTCCAATTCCTCCCTAATACTGTTGTAATTAGCCTTCACCCCAGTCACCACTTTCACTTGAGGGACATTCTTATCTTTATCCATAACTACTTTAAAACTTAAGGAATTATGATCGCTGTTCTGAAAATGCTCCCCCCACCCCCAAAGCTTTGATTACCTGGCCAGGCTCATTCCCCACTACAAGGTCTAGTTTTTGTTTAATCCACTCATGGGACATTAGCATTGCTGGCTGGGCCAGCATTTATTGCCTGTCCCTACCTGCCCTTGAGAAGGTGTTGGTGAGCTCCCTTCTTGAAACGCTGCAGTCCACAAGTTGAAGGTTGATCCACAATGCTGTTAGTGGAAATTAGTACAGCCCCTTCCCTAGTTGGACTACATGCTGTTAAGAAACCCTCCTGGATATACCTAATAAATTCTGCCCATAGATTAAAAACATAGCAGCTGAATTTAAAGGCTTCCCAATCCACTGGTTTCCCACTAATTTTCACCACATTGTATGCTTTTTCTTTTGCTCTTATGCTACCCCTGACTTCCCTTGTGAGCCATGATTGCCTCATCCCTTAGTATGCTTCATCTTTGTTGGGATGAATTTCTCTGTGCCTCCTGAGTTACCCCTAGAAACTCCTGCCATTGCTGCTGCAACATCTTCACTGCAATGCACCCCTTCCAATCAATTCTGGCTAGTTTCTCCCTCGTGACTATGTAGTTACCTTTACTCAATTGTAACACTGTTACACCCTTCAAACTGCAGAATGAATTCATCATGAGGGGATAGCAAGAACTGCAGACGCTGGAGCTGGAGGAACACAGCAATGTCAGGCAGCATCAGAGGAGTAGGAAAGTTGAGGTTTTGGGTCGGGACCTTTATCCAGAAATAGGGAGGGAGAAGGGAGCTGGGAAATAAATGGAGGAGGGGTGGGACTTGGGGAAGGTAGGTGGGATGATGGTGGGTGGATACAGGTAGGGGGTAGTAGGGATTGGTCAGTGGGAAGGGTTGGGCGGATAGGTGGGAGAGAAGATGGACAGGTTGTGTCAGGTCAAGGAGGCAGGGATGAGAGGGAGGTTTGGACATGGGATGAGGCTGGGGGTAGAGAGCTTTTGAAACTGGTGAATTCTATGTTCATGCCATTGGTTTGTAGGCTCCTGAGGCAGAATATGAGGTGTTGCTCCTCCAGTTTGCATGTGACGTCACTGTGGCACTGGACGAGGCCCAAGATGGACATGTCATCAAGGGAGTGGGAGGGGGAGTTAAACTGGTTAGTAACCGGAAAGCGTTGTCGATTATCGTGTACAGAGTGCAGATGCTCCACGAAACGGTCCCTGAGTCTGTGCTTGGTCTCACCGATATAGAGGAGGCCACATCGGGAGCAACGGATACAGTAGACCAGGTTGGCGGATGTACAAGTGAACCCCTGTCGGATATGGAAGGTTTGCTTTGGGCCTTGGATGAAGGTGAGGGGAGAGGTACAGGGGCAGGTATAGCACTTGCTGTGATTGCAGGAAAGGTGCCGGGGGTGGTGGAATTAGTGGGGAGTGTGGAGCAGATGAGGGAATCGTGGAGTGAGCGGTGCTGGTGAGCTCCCTAATCAAGCCTTCCTCATTACACGTCATCAAATCCAGAATTGTCTATTCTCTACTGGGTTCTACCATAAGCTACTCCAAAAAAAACATTTCATAGACATTCCATGAATTCCTTTTCTTTAGATCCACTACCAACCTGATTTTTCCAATCCATCAGCATATTGAAGTCCCCTATGATTATTGTAATAGTGTCTTTCTCACGTGACCTTTCTATCTCCTGATTTATTTTCATCCCCACATCTTGACTACTACTAGGAGGCCTGTACATAATTCAAACCAACTCCTTTGTGGTTCCTCAACTCTGGTCGTACAAATTTTATGCTGTCTGACTCTACATTACTTCTTACTATTGATTAAATTTCATTTATTACTAACACAGCAACCCGCTCTCTCTGCCATCTGCCTATCCTTTCGGTAGGATGCATACCCTTGGATATTTAATTCCCAGCCCTGATCCCCTTGCAGCCACTTCTCTTTGATACCCACAACATCGTGCCTGCCAATTTCAATCTGCACTATGTGCTCATTTACCTTGTTTTGTACACTGCATGTATTTAAGTACAATACCCTCAGTCGTATGTTGGCTGCCCCCCACTTTTCATAGTTTTTACACTTACCTGCTGTGCCTGAAGTTAGATTCCTGACCCTTTCCATACTCTCTGTCCTATTACTTCCTCTGGAAATTTTAATAACCTCTGCTGAGCCCTTTTTCCATAGTTTTCCATGTGACTGAACCTAACCCCCTACTTTTTAGTTTAAAGCCCTATTCACAGCTCTAGTTAAAAGCCATGTGTTTCACCAGGACTCTGGTCCCAGCATGATTCAGGTGGAACTCATCCTGTTGGAACTGCTCCCTCCTTCCACTGTACTGGTGCCAATATTCCATGAATTCAAATCTGTTTCTCCCACACCAATCTTTGAGCCACTCATTAATCTTGTTGATCCTGTACCAATTTGTTCATGGCTCAGCTATTAATACAGAGATTACCTTTTTGGTTCTACATTTTAATTTAGCCCCTAGCTGCTCGTATTCCCTCAGCAGAATCTCTTTCCTCTTTCTGTCTATCACTCCAGATGTGATTTCTACTTCTTGACTGTGTGAAGCTTATTGATCCTGTCTTGAGGTCCTGGTACTGAGGGAGTTCTAGTCAACATAGGAGAAGTTAAAATTACTCACTAAAACACTGCTTTCTTTACATCTTTCTCTGATCTATCTGTTCCTCTGTCTCCTGTTGGCTACTGGGAGGCCAACAGCATAACCGCATCTTTGTGATTACCCCTTTTCATATTGCTAAATTCTCCTCGTGAACTTCCTGGATAAGTCCTCCAAGATTATCCTTTTTTAGTCCAGCTGTGACATTCTTCTTAATCAGTGATGCAACTCCCCAACCCCTCTTACACTCCTCTATCTTGCCTGAAACGTCAAAACCCTGGATTCTTGAGCTGCCAATCCTGCCCTTCTCTCAACCAGATTTCAGTAATCACTACAACATCATTGTCCCATGTACTAATCCAGGCTTTAAGATCGTCTGCCTCATATACTGCCTGTTATACTCATTGCATTAAATTAAATACATGTCAGTCCGCCAGTCCTGCCATATTCATGAACCTGCTCTGCCTACTTTTCCTATCAGACATTTTTGACTTAATATCAACCTTCTCCTCAAACACTCCACATGCTGACCTACTGTTGTTTCCCAACCCTCTACCATATCAGTTTAAAGCCCCCCAAGTGGCACGAGGAAACCTTCAAGGATATTGGTGTTCCTCCAGTTTAGGTGCGACCTGTCCTTGTACAGGTCCCTCCTGTCCTAGAAGAGATCCCAATGATCCAGTTACCTGAAGCCCTCCCTCCTGCACCAGCTCTTTAGCCATGCACTCAACCGTCATCTTTCTGGCATCACTAGCACATGGCTTAGGAAATAATCCTGAGTTTGCAACCGTAGAGGCCCTGCTTTTAAGCTTCCTACCCAACTCACTAAACTCCCTTTGCAGGTCCTCATTTCTCTTTCTGCCCATGCTGTTAATACCAAAATGGAGCAGGATCTCTGACTACTTAACCTCCCCTTCCTGAATATCCTGTCCCTGCTCAGAGATATTCTTGACACTGGCACCAGGGAGGTAATACATATCCTGGAGTCCCGCTCGTGGCAACAGAAATACTTATCTGTGCCCTTGACAATTCAGTCCCCTATCACTACTCCTTACCTACACTTCAGTCCTCCCTGCTGTACAACAGAACCACGGAGACACCAGCACCCTCCCCCAAAAATAAAAGTATCTAAACGGGTGTGTCTGTTTGAGGGAAGAATGGTCACAGGGGGCACCTGCACTGCCAGCCCACGCTTAGTCTTTCTAACCCAATGTTTTTCTATCTGTGTAGCTCTTACTTGTGGTTTGTCAGCTCACTAAATGTGCTGTTCGTGGCATTCTTAGCCTCATGGATGCTCCATAGTGAGTCCATCCACAACTCCAGCCACTCAATTTGGCAAATCAGGACCTGTGGCTGAACATATTTCCTGCATCCTGAACTCCAGTCCTCTAGATATAAATGCTAGCATTCCATTAGCTTTCTTGATTATTTTCTGTATCTGTTTGTGACATTGCAAAAATCTGTGCACTTGAACTCCTAAGCTTCTTTGAATGTCCACCAGATTTAACTTCATACCATTTAGAAAGTGCCCTGACCCATCCTTTCTGGTCCAAAATGGATAACCTCACACCTACTCACATTGAATTCCATCTGCCATAGTTTTCCCATTCACTTCACTTAATCTATCAATGTTGATTTGGAATTTTATTCTCTCACCTATACTGGCTACAATGCTGCCTAATTTGTCATGAGCAAATTTAGATATATGCCTCTCTATTGCCATTATCCAAGTCATTAATAAATAATGAGTAATTGAGGTCCTAGCACAGGTCACTGCGGGACAGCACTGGTCACGTGCCAATTTGAGCACCCACCCTACTTTCATTCATCTTCCATTCAACCAATTTCCTAGCCATGTCAGTAATAAGCTCTCAAATTTCATGGGCTTACAACTTAGTTAACAGTCTGTTCTGTGGGACTTTATCAAATGCTTCCCAGAATCCATATAAACAACATCATAGACATTCCTCTGTCCATTAATCTTAGTCACCTCTTAAAAAGATTCAGTGAGGTTTGTCAGACATGCCCGACTTGTCATGAATCCATGATGGCTGTCCCTGATTAACTGAATGTTTTCAAGGTGTTCAGTTACCCCATCTTTAATTATAGACTCCAACAATTGCCCTGACACAAATGTTAGGCTATCTGCTTTGTAATTCCCTGGCTTTCCTTTCACAGTGTGGAGCTGGAAGAGCACAGCAGACCAGGCAGCATCAGAGGAGCAGGAAAGTTGACATTTCAAGTTGGGACCCTTCTTCAGAAATGGGGGAAGAGGGAAGGGAGCTCTGAATTAAATAGAGAGAGGAGACGTGGGGCTGGGCAAGGTGGGATGGTGGAATGTGAGTGCTCCACACTGTGTTATCTCTGACTCCAGCATCTGCAGTTCTTACTCTCTCTGGCTTTGCTTTCACCCCTTTTTTTTTTTTTTAAAGAATGGAGCGACGTGATATTTTCCAATCCAGAGGGATGACTCCTGTATCTAGGAAACTCTGAAAGATTATAGTTAGGGTGTTTACAATATACTCCCTTACTTCCTTTAAAACCCTCTGATGGAAACAATCAGGTTCTGGGGATTTGTCACTCTCTAATTTCCTCATCATTGAAGTTTCACGTGTGTTTAGTTTATTCAGTTCCTGCTTCCGATCCACTGTCAGTTTCTTAATAACTTCTGGTAAAGTCTCTTCTTTTTCTATGGTTAAAAACTGAGGCAAAGTAATTATTCAACACATCTGCCATTTCCCCATAGTCATTGATAATATCCCCACTTCCAGTCTTTAGTGGGCTAACATTGCTCTTGAACATCTGCTTTTCCCTTTATGTAACTATAAAACTTTTATCGATTCTGATGTTCATTGCAAGTTTCTTTTCAGAATCACTTAGTAATTCTAATAGCCTACTTTGTGGCCCTTTGCTGGTCTACGTATCTTTCCCGTTCATCAGTATCTGGTCTTTTTTTTTTTTTTTGCATTTTTCTAAGCCCTTTTAGTTTTACGCTGTCCCTTTGCTGTTTAGTTGCCTATGGCTGTTTTTTCTATGAGGTTGAGCTTTTCCCTCTCAAGGATATAAATTGGTTCTGTTTTTCATTAAATGTTTCTTTAAACATCGTCTAATGTTCTTCAGTTTTTTGCATATTAGCAGTTTTTTTTTTCTCAGTTTGCTGTGGACAGCCTCTGTCTTATTAAAGTCAGCCTTTCCTAAATCCAAAGGTCCAACTGATTCATGCTTTTCAGTTTCAACTGCTACATTGAACTCTTATTATGATCACTATTTGATAAATGTTTGTATGCAACTGAGTTACTAACTAAATCTAGCTCATTACTCATTACTAGATCCAATATTGCTTGTACCCTTGTGGCATCAAGGACAAATTACTGTAGGAAACTATCCAGGACACACTCCATTAATACTATCCTGGCGTTGCTACAGTCTTGGCTAATTTCTGTACTGATACAATCTAGTGCATCACAGCTGTTACCAAGGGGTTTGTACACAACATCTAAATACTGTTTTAGATCCTTTACTGTTCCTCAGTTTCACCTATACTGTCTCCACAGAATGCTTTTCTGTCATTATATCCTCCCTCACCACTGACATAATTTTGTTTCTAATCAATAAGGCTTCCAGTTCCTCTGCCATTCTTGCCTGTCTCAGTCGTAAACCTTATCACCTGGTATATTTAATTCTCAGTCCTGACCATCCTGCAGCCATGCCTCAGTAATGGCTACTATATCAGAATCTCCAATTTGTATTTGTGCCTGCAGCTCATTTATAAGGTCTTAGCGAAAATTTGTAGCTCGGGTTGTGAATGCAGTTGTTCATTTGCTCGCTGAGCTGCTTGTTCTGTGGTGTGCAGATGTTTTGTTAACATTGTAGGCAACATCATCAGTGTGACTTCTAATTGAAGCGTTGGTGTTCTGCTCTGTTCCAAATTTATATGATCCTCTGGTGTGGTGGGCTTGTTACTTCTGGTTCTGTTTTTCAGCAGCAGTCCGTATACTAGGTCTATTTCTATGTGTTTGTTAGTGGAGTCCTGTGTTGAGAAACAGGCCTCCAAAAATTCCCTTGCATGTCCGTTGTTCGCTTGCCTCGATACACACAAACAATGAAGGCCATCAGTTCGACTGCGACAAAGTGACAAGTGAACAACAGACATGCAAGGGAATTTCTGGAGGCCTGGTTCTCAACACGGGACTCCATTAACAAACACATAGAAATAGACCCCATATACGGACTGCTGCTGAAAAACAGAACCAGAAGTGACAAGACCCACCACACCCGAGGATCATATAAATTTGGAATAGAGCAGAACAGCAACACTTCAATTACAGGTTGCCCTGATGTTGCCTAGGTGGTAACGAAACGTCTGCACGTCACAGAACAACTGGCTCGGCAAGCAAACGAACAGCTACAGCTCGTTTAATTTATTCCTATACTGTATGTGCATTTGGATATAGAACTCTTATTTGGACCATACACTGTAACCCTCGGTACTGATGCTTTATTACGATTTCTGTTTACTGTTTCTCTCTTCCGGTTGAATCAATACACTGCTTTGCTTTGCCATTTCCTGCCATACCTGAAGTAGCATTCCTGACTGTTCCTTTACTCATATTACTTGATTTTGAAGCTGCATTGACTTCCCCTCCCCACCCTCCTCTTAATTTACTAGTGTAATCTAGTTATATCTACCGCCTTTTCAAAAACACATAATGTTTTGGCCTCAACTATTTTCAGTAGTAACAAGTTCCACAGGCTGACTGCTCTCTGGGTTAACAAATTTCTCCTTGTTTCAGTCCTAAAAGGTTTATCCCTTATCCTAAAACTGTGACCCCATGGTTCTGGATTTCCCCACCACTGGGAACAACCTTTCTGTATCTAACCTCTCTAATCCTGTTAGAATCTCATAGAAGCTTAGAAAATACTGTATGGACCAGACCAAACCCCCTCAAAACAAGTCCAGGAGATAGCCTAGGTCCTAACATTGCCTTATTTTAAAGGCAAATGTCAGATGTTGCATTCCAGATGCAATTCGATTGGTTCAATTACAAGGCTCGAAGCAAAACACACTTTGTTCATATACTATAGTTAAAATACAGACAAAATAAAAGAATTGGCTTAACTGTAATTCACTAAATAATAAATACTCATTAACTGTTCTAATATGGTAACATCCCATAAACACACTGTTGGCAAAGACAAATTCAATAAAATAGATTGTCTCACATGTGGTTCTAGTAGCAGGAAGAGAACCCCAGCTTTTAGCTATTACAGAGAGAGGACTAACAGCTTCTACCTTGAGCTTCAAGATCCCAGCAACAGCTACTGAAAGCTAAACTAAAAATCTTGGTTCTGTGGGAGCTTGCCCCACCAATTCAGGCTGCTCCTATTGTTCCAGCCTTCTTAAAAAAAGAACACCCAAGGCCTCACAAGCTGTTTACTTTATTGGCTTGAAGCATACCACTCTTATTTCTGTCTCAACTTCTCTTTATTTTGGGAAAAAAAGGACAAAATACACCTCTTAAAGCCATGGTATCATTACACTTCCCTCCTTTATTTTTCTAAGCACCAGTGAATGCAATCCTAACCACCTCAAACTCTCCTCATACAGCCTAGGCAGGACTGACATATGTAAGAAGCAGCACAGGTAGCTGTTTACAAGGCAGCAGCCCTGGTTAATTTCTTCCTATCCCTGCTCTTTGAGGAAAATTGCAGAGTACCTATCCTCATGAGATACAAGATCTACCAACTTAGCACAGGCTGAATCAAAGTTAGTGTTTCAAATTGGTACTGTTTAGTTTTAATATGCTGTGGGCTGTTGAGAAAGTGTAACCACAGTTTTCTTGTGCTGCACTTGGATTGAGTTGTATATTGTCATTTTTTGTACCTTTATAAGGTAAGGCAAAAGTAACTAAAAGGACTAACAATTTTCATTCTTCTGTCCAGCCTGAGGGTGCTGCTGACCGATGCTTGGATTGTGCTGTGGAGAAGTGTTGCCCGTACTCTGCTAAGAAACTTTATCTGGAAGGTGTCAAGAATGTGAGTAGAGTTACTGACGATGGATTGTGCAGACACAGGATTTTGAACCACACTTCCATCCCTGTTTAACCTGCCTGCATGCCTGTGTTGGAGGGAGTCAGGAGGTTATAACCTGCCTTTTAAGCTATCGCCCCTTACCTTATTGATTTTGGGTTCACTTCTCTCTCTCCCGTGCCCATTTACACAGGAAGCATGATATTTAAACAGTGAATTATTTTTCTCATACCTGAAATCAGCTAATGAGGTGCAGGTTAAGGATTGAATATGTGGAATGTTGCTCTGCATGGTTTGCTACAACATCAGGTAGAGCCTTTACTCGGTAGGGAAGTAGTGTAACATATACTAGGTATACTTTGTGCAAGCTGATGTAATTGGAATTTTATTTAACCTAAGCAACAAAGTGGTAAGTGATTTCTGGTTAGACTCATGAGGAACAAAAAATTTAATCTTCTGGTTTTTGCTCTACTTCCCTTGTGTTTTAATAGTGATGACTGATTATGAATAGATTAGGTGTAAGTTTTTCCTTGGTGCTGGACCCAAACGGCCATTCTTTATGTATGATTCTGGATATTGAATGCTGAATTCTCCCAGCCCCAGGCTTAGGGATGAAAGAAGCTGCTAAAATACAGGGTAGAACTGTTGTCACAGATTTTTGGATACACGGTATCCTTGTCACTGAAAAGATATCCAAGAAGGGGCTGGGAATAGGATTGGCTGGTTACTCCACAGGATTGGGCTGCCATTTTGCATATAGCAGAATTCCCAATGCTTGCATGTACAGAGGCCTCCAACTCAATGGAGGTAGCCTCTCTACAGCAGACTAAATGACAAACTCCAATGACTGGGCACAAGTAGGGAAAAGCGCCACTCAGCTTAAACAATCCATGCTGAGGAGTTTTCCCCCTCGTCCGAGGAATCTAACAACTACGGCTGTCATAACATTGCTTTTATTTTGAAGCCAACCTCCGTCAAAGGCATCTTCTTGTTGAGGCAGTCATGTGGTCCATGCCCAACCTTGGGAGCACCTACTTCTGCTGACGGGTATGCTGAGACTCAAGCTGCCAGCTGGTATAATTAAGAATGCAACTGCCCTCCTTAACAGCTGTCCAGACGCAATTATAGGTAGAAGGCCGCATCTAAGTAGATTGCAATTTTGGGATAGTAAGAACTGCCGATGCTGGAGTCAGAGATAACAGTGTGGGAGTCCCGACCCGAAATGTCAACTTTCCTACTCCTCTAATGCTGCCTGGCCTGCTGCGTTCCTCCAGTTCCACACCGTGCTATCTCGGATTGCAATTTTGGTCTTGCTGCCAGTAAATCTGAGTTCAGAATCCCCATTTGGTCCCAGTGGTAGGAACCTGAAGCTTATGATGATATTCCGTTCTGACTCCTGAGTGTCATCAAGCTCTCCAATGAGCCTGATCCCTGATATCTGTGGACATCCAAGCTTCTACACTGAAGTCATTGGAGCAGGGTCCTGAACTGTGATATTCTTTTTTCCTCCCTCCAGTTTCGAATCTGGAGTCTCTGCCTGCTCACAATGCTCTACTATCTTCCTGGCTGAAATCAAATAAATCATTGTAGATCAGGAACCAAGCTTTAGGTCTGTCCTAGTCTGAGGTTTAGTTACTTGTTGCATTTACAAAAAGAAGAATTAGTATCTCCTGAATGATTAATATGCAATTATTATAAATTGTAATGATGGTGCTGACCATTCTACAACCTTCGTAAAGTGCCTTTTTGTCAGCCTTCAGTTTTTTTAACTAGTGGAGCCTGCAATCAGCAACACCGCTACATGGGTAACTATACAGCAATGTAACAAAAGCACAGGAATAAATCTGTTACCATGGAGAAGGGCTTTGCCTTTGTCAGACTAATAGTATAAAGATCATACAATTAAGGATTCCTTTGTTCAAAGTTTTTACGGGCTACACAAATGTGGCCATCTGCTCATTAAACTCGTGCAGACCTCCTAATGCTGCATGAATGACAAATGGACATTAAGAAAGGAAACTGAATGAGAGAGCAAAAGGCCGGGGTTTGAACGGAGCAGCACAAAAGCCCATGCCTTCTGCCAGGAGAGCAAGGCGATGATCATCACGCAGCTGCTGAGCATGACCAATCTGTCTGTGCCAGTACAAGAGGACATCTGGTGAATCTGGTGAAGCTTAGGCGGTCAGCAGTGAAGTCTGTCTCTTTAGGACTGCATTGTAGCAGCCTGGCACTATCTCTACCAGGTGGAACATAGTATACAGGAAAAGGTCAAACTTGATAGGAAATAAAAGGCCAAAAGGAAACTGTGTGATCCAATTAGCAAGGTCCCAAACATTGTTTAAACAGTTTTGTCCCCTTGTGTCAGATAACCTACTGTATTAAATCATGTTCAAAAGAGGACCAGTAGCTCAGCCAGCTTTCTTTCTTTTTTCAGACTTTTCAACATTCACAACAAATAAAACAGTAGCATATATATACTGGCAGTATTGGCAGCAGCGAAGGGGGTGGTGCTGCATCTGTCTAAATCCAACCCTTCATCAGGTTCTGTACTCCATGTGAAGCGGTGCTGTCAACATGAGCAATCCCTTTAGAAAATTTGTCTTCTGTTTCACTGGGCAGGGCCTGGATTTTAGGCTTTGGCAAGGTTTCATCCATAACACAAATTGGAAATGTTTGGAAACTTGACAAGACCTCTTCTAGGAGGATTTTCATATAAAAGTATTTTTAAAATCATATTTTTGTTGAGTATGTTTCATTTCATTCTTGTACTGGAATAACTGCTTTTTCCTGGGATGGTCTTTATTCCTTTCCCTGTATCTAGTTTTCTTTATCGTTTTTGCTTTGAATTTAACACCTTTACAAAATCTTGACAGTGGGTTCCAAATGTGCTGCATAAATGAATGCAATGACTTCTCGAGGTGCTCTGGTCTTTTCAGTTACTACTTGCAGATCTCCATCTGCACTAGATATTGGAATCCTAGATTTGCCACCTTTGCTTCACATGTCAGCTTTCCACAGAGTTCTGCCTAGTGATCTGCACATCATATCTGGATTAGAGGTGTCTCTTGACAGAGGGAGGCACTGATATAGTGGAAATATCACTAGACTGGTAATCCAGAGGCCCAAGTAATGCTCTAGGGTATGAGTTCTCAGTAGCTGATGAAATTAATATTTGATTAATAAATCTGGAATGTAAAGTTAATCTCACATGACGTGACTGTGACAATACCATCAATTGTTGTAAAATCAAATGCCCTTTAGGGAAGGAAATCTGCTGTCCTCACCTGTGATTCTGGACCCATAGAAATGTGCTTGACTCTTATCTGGCCTCTGAAATGGCCTAGTAAGCCACTCAGTTTAAAGGCAATTTAGGATGGGCAAGAAATGGTGACTTTGCCAGTAATATTCACGTCCTGTGCAAAAAGCAAAAGACCAAGGCTTGCTTACTCCACAAACTTACCACCACAGGAAACATGTTGTATCAGGCTGTCTGCAACGCATATATTTTGGGAAATAAATATTTGTTTCTCACTTTTCCTGTAGGGAGAAGGCATCATCACTAGAAGGCAGGGTTTCTTTTGAGAGCAAAGCATTGCAGATCATGCCAATGTGGACATCCGGGCTTTTCATATTATCTACATGATTTTCATGAGCAGTTTACCCAGTTACCATAAATATTACCATAAAATCATCATTGGGTGTACTTGGGTGCATATATCAGGAAAGAATTGAGTCTTTTTTTTTCTTGAAGGGAGACTGAGACGTGACCTAAAAAAAAGTATTTAACATTAAAAGGTTTTGACAGAGTGGATACAGAAAGAATGCTGCTGCTTGAGACAAGGAGCATAAGATGGGACCATCAATTTGAGACCCCTTCTAAGAAGTCCAATAGACCATTCAGAAGAAACTTCTCTGCCCAAAGAATGATGAGAGCTCACTACTGCAGGGCGTGGTTGAAACAAATGGTTTAAATGCATTTAAAAGGAAGCGAGACAAATTGGGTGGAGGGTTTAGATTGTTACGACGGTTGATTCAGATGAGGAAATATGGCGATGGTTAAAGTGGAACATAAACCCTAGCTTGGACTGAATGAGCTGTTTCTGTACCATATCCTTTCTAATTCTGTGTCAGTGGCTATAATATTTTAACTCTGTAACATGACTGCTGACTCCACCAAGAAAGTGTGAAGACAGCAGAGTATCTGTTGTTTGGCACCATAGCAGAGGATCAGCCAACAGATGCTGTCAGTCTCCCCTCAAAAAATAGTTGTCCTACACTAGCGTGTGCACAAAAAAAAAGCAATGGCAGTGCACAATACTTGAAATAATACATCTTCGAGGGAGAGGCTGCTGCACAAAGAACTGAGAGAAAAATGACCTTCCATCTGAAGAACATGTTTGACTAACTTGCAGTCAGTCAAGACAGGTCTGTGTAATATCATTGGCCCAGCTGATAACATCCTCCATTCAGTTCAATCTGGTACTTCTTTGTAATTCACTGGAAATAGATATTGTTGGCAAGGTTTCATTTTAATGCCCATCCCTAAGTTTTCCTGAGCTGTCGATACCATCATGTTGAATAGCTTTGGTAATACAGTAGATCATGTACAGATCCACAATATGCAGGGGATTAAGAAAATTGCTTTGTAATGGATATGTCAAGCTTCTTGAGTGTTGCGATATCATCTATCTCATCAAACAGTGAGTATTCAATCAAAATCCTGATTTGAGCCTCATAGATGGTAAAGAGACTGAGGTATAAGGATATGAACCAATTGTTGCTTGGTGCCCAACTCCTGACCTCCTCTTATAGCCACTGTGTTAATCTACTTATGCTTTGTTCATTGCTGAACTCTAGTATATTAACAGTGGGGATGTACAATAATGATACTGTTGATACTTAGGAGGAAATGGTTATTAAGAGTTCTGCTTTTTATTTTGTTGAGCAGGGCAAGAAAGGATGGCCCATCTCTGTGATCTGTGAAGGGTCTACTGTTGACATTGAATCAGTTACAAAGGCACTTCGTGAAGGTCCGTATGGAAGGTGTGTTTACGAATGTGATAATGATGTTGTCACCCATCAGGTAATTATGACATTTTTGGCTGCTTAAGTATTAACTTTTAAAAGTCTTTATGATGTAAGCAGTACAGTAATATAAGCTACAGTAAAATATTTGAGAACTTACAGCTCTACATTCTGTCATGCATAAAAGTTTAGAATTGCAGTCATTTCAACAAATAATAAAGAAGAATTTTCAGCCTATTGTACTAATAGTGCCACTTCCATGCTGGATCTAAATCTAATGTAAACCTATTCCATCTTTATCCTTTTAATATTTCTTTAAATGCTTTTGTTATAATTATGTCTTGAAAATTTATGATTCATTCAATTTCAAGAGCTTCAACTTCAATTCTAGTAATGTCTTTTATTAATTTCCCTTGCACAACAGTATTCTGTTTGAAACTGTCCTGAGTTTAGTATCATCATATCATGTAAGATTGTACAATAACCTACTTCATCATGTTTATTATTGCATCTCCATGCTCTGTAATATAAAGGGACAATGAGGAGACATTGGGAACCACAGATACTATTACAAGGAACTAAAATCTAGTTGCACGCTGTGGAAACTAAATTGCTTACTTTCGTAGCCTGAAGATTACTGCTACCAAGTTTTCATCAGGTAAATCTTCTTTCCAGGTTGTGAATATGGAGTTTGAGGAAGGAGTGACAGCAGCTTTTGCTATGGTGGCTTTTACTGAAAAGCTGGCTTCTCGGAAGATAACAATTTACGGAACTCAGGTAGGAGACAAGCTTCTGTATTATGTGACTACATATTTAGTTATCTTGCCAAAAACAGTGGGAATCCCTTTTTCGAAGATGCAAGTCAAGTTGTATCATACTAAGAGCATGGGTGGGCTTCTCCTCTGTGTTTATTGTATCCCACTCTGGGTAGAGGTTGGAGGACAATCAATAGATAAAGTTCATTATCTCAGGCCTTTTAGCCATAGTGCACTGAAGGGCTCAAAACTATCAAAAACATCTCGGGCTTTGAGACTCTCAAAGAATGTACATTATGAACATTGAAAGTACTTAATTTGTTTTGAAGCACATCGGAGTGGAACATTTGTATGGAGAAAAGTCTATTTCTATTACACTTTTGTAACTTCCAATTTGAAATGTGTTGCCCTTAGACTGTAAATCTGATGTGCAACGTAGATTTTAGATATTACATTTATAATGATTGTAATGAAGCACCTAAGAATGGAATGTATTGTACAGAGACAAGTTGAATTTTATTGCAAATTCTATAATCAACTCTATTTTGTAATGTAATTTATAAATATCAAGAATAAAATATATTTTGGGGAAAAATTTGAGTGGGGTTTGACTCCTTGGTGGCAGACCAGTGTTGATCAGTTGAATGCGTAACTGGTGGAAAGACCATCATGATTTGGTGTTGTGGCATCATTTCATTATGGTACAAGAGCTCCAGATCTCGAAAGGGCATTCCAGGATTATTGAATGGATGAGCCGGCACTACAGACCCTTTTGAACTGTAATCTATTGAATAGATTAGAGATAACGCATGAGATGGGTACTATTGTTTGGCCTTGCTCTATGTGGAACCAGGTTGAGGGTTCCTCCTCTGACTATAAAATATTTCATTTTAATATTGTTTCTGGTGTGATCAGAATGTCATTGCACATAGATTGTAATCCCTGCATCTTTTACAAGTGATGACCAGAGTTTTAGTGATGTAATTTGAATGCTGATTTCCATTGAAGGGAGACTAGCTGTTGGTTTCATGCAGGCTCTAAATCTTCCTACTCGTAAGCTCCAATAAAAGTGACAGTAAGTCAACTGTTAAGGGTAGCAGGCACCAAGGCTCTAACACGATTGTTTTTAGGCACTTCCTGCTCATTAACAACAATTTTCTCAAGTGAAAACTGACCAGTATATATTTCTGACAAAACAGTACTAAATGGAGTGAGAACAGTAAAAAGATAACACCGAGGTGCTCCACCAGCTCCACACTGTTATCTCTGACTGCAGCATCAGCAGTTCTTGCTATCTCTGAGAACAGAAACGAACTATTTTGGGATTGTTCTGCAGACTTCTTAGATAATTCTTATTTGAAGTGGAAATCTGATAATTGATGCCTTCTTTTGCAACAATACTTGTAATCTTGGGATAACTTTTTTGATTAACAAAAACATTACTGCTGTCTGATATTTAAGAAAAATCATCCGGTGAAAATATATGGGTCAAAATCAGAAATGAAAAGGGAACGATCGCCTTGATGAGATTGTACTGTAGACCTCTCAATAGTCAGAGGGAAACTGAGGAACAAATATGTGGACAGGTCTCAGAAATATGTAAGATTAATCAGGTCGTAATAGTAGGTGATTTTAATTTTCCAAACATTGACTGGAGCTACCATAGTATTAAAGGTTTGGATGGTGAAGACTTTGTTAAATGCATACAGGAATTTTTTTCTTTTTCAATATGTAAATGTTCCTATTAGAGAAGGAGCAAAACTTGACCACCTCTTGGGTAAAGTCAGAGCAAGTGACTGAAGTGATTGTTGGGGAACACTTTAGGTCTAGTTATCATAACTTGATTTGTTCTAAAATCGTTATAGAAAAGGATAAGCCTTCCATAAAAATCAAAATTTTTAATTGGAGTAAGGCAAGTTTTTTTTAATAGTATGAGACAAGAATTTTCAAAAATTGATTGGAGTAGACTGCTTGCAGATAAGGGGATGTCTGATGATTGGGCAGCTTTCAAAAGGGTGATAACGAGAGTTCAGAGTCATTATGTTCCTTTTAGAGTGAAAAGTAAGCTTGATCGCATTAGAGAACAATGGATGAATAAAGATATTGAGGTTCTAGTCAAGAATGAAAAAGAATCATATATTAGATATAAACAGCTGGGTTCAAATGAACCTCTTTAACAGTGTAAAGAGCGTAGGGGCATTCTTAAGAGGGAGGTCAGGGGGCAAGGAGATGATATGAGAGAGCCTTGGCAAATAAGGTTAAGGATAATCCAAAGAGATTCCAGAAGTACATTAAAAGCAAGACGGCAACCAGAGAGGGAGTAAGGCCCATTAAAGATCAGAGGTCGTCTTTGTGTTGAACCTTAGGAGATCAGAGTGATGTTTAAATGAATGTTTTGCGTCAGTTTTTACTGTGGAGAAAGAACTGGAGGCTAGAGAATTTTGGGAAATAAATATTGATGTTTTGAAAACAGCTCAAATTGCAAAAGAGGAAGTGCTGGAGGTCTTAGAAAATATAGAACATAGAACATTACAGCGCAGTACAGGCCCTTCGGCCCTCGATGTTGCGCCGACCTGTGAAACCAATCTGAAGCCCATCTAACCTAAACTATTCCATTATCATCCATATGTTTATCCAGTGACCATTTAAATGCCCTTAAAGTTGGCGAGTCTACTATTTTTGCAGGCAGGGCATTCCACGCCCTTACTACTCTCTGAGTAAAGAACATACCTCTGACATCTGTCCTATATCTATCACCCCTCAATTTAAAGCTATGTCCCCTCGTGCTAGTCATCACCATCCGAGGAAAAAGGCTCCCACTGTCCACCCTATCTAATCCTCTGATCATCTTGTATGTCTCTATCAAGTCACCTCTTAACCTTCTTCTCTCTAACGAAAACAGCCTCAAGACCCTCAGCCTTTCCTCATAAGACCTTCCCTCCATACCAGGCAACATCCTGGTAAATCTCCTCTGCACCCTTTCCAATGCTTCCACATCCTTCCTATAATGCGGTGACCAGAACTGTACGCAATACTCCAAGTGCGGCCGCACCAGAGTTTTGTACAGCTGCAACATGACCTCATGGCTCCGAAACTCAATCCCTCTACCAATAAAACCTAACATACTGTACACCTTCTTAACAACGCTATCAACCTGGGTGGCAACTTTCAGTGATCTATGCACATGGACACCGAGATCTTTCTGCTCATCCACACTACCAAGAATCTTACCATTAGCCCAGTACTCTGTATTCTTGTTACTCCTTCCAAAGTGAATCACCTCACACTTTTCCGCATTAAACTCCATTTGCCACCTCTCAGCCCAGCTCTGCAGCTTATCTATGTCCCTCTGTAACCTGCAACATCCTTCTGCACTATCCACAACTCCACCAACTTTGGTGTCATCCGCAAATTTACTAACCCATCCTTCTACGCCTTCATCCAGGTCATTTATAAAAATGACAAACAGCAGTGGCCCCAAAACAGATCCTTGAGGTACACCACTAGTAACTGAACTCCAGGATGAACACTTCCCATCAACCACCACCCTCTGTCTTCTTACAGCTAGCCAATTTCTGATCCAAACCGCTAAATCACCCTCAATCCCATGCTTCCGTATTTTCTGCAATAGCCTACCACGGGGAACCTTATCAAACGCTTTACTGAAATCCATATACACCACATCAACCGCTTTACCCTCATCCACCTGTTTGGTCACCTTCTCAAAGAACTCAATAAGGTATGTGAGGCACGACCTACCCTTCACAAAACCGTGTTGACTATCCCTAACCAAATTATTCCTTTCTAGATGATTATAAATCCTATCTCTTATAATCATTTCCAACACTTTACCCACAACCAAAGTAAGGCTCACTGGTCTATAATTACCAGGGTTGTCTCTACTCCCCTTCTTGAACAAGGGGACAACATTTGCTAGTCTCCAGTCTTCTGGCACTATTCCTGAAGACAATGACGACATAAAGATCAAAGCCAAAGGCTCTGCAATCTCCTCTCTAGCTTCCCAGAGAATCCTAGGATAAATCCCATCCGGCCCAGGGGACTTGTCTATTTTCACACCTTCCAGAATTGCTAACACCTCCTCCTTATGAACCTCAATCCCGTCTAGTCTAATAGACTGTATCTCAGTATTCTCCTCGACTACATTGTCTTTTTCCTGTGTGAATACTGACGAAAAATATTCATTTAGCACCTCTCCTATCTCTTCGGATTCCACGCACAACTTCCCACTACTGTCCTTGACCAGCCCCAATCTTACTATAAAGGTGGATAAATCTTGATCCCATGTAATCCAGGACTTCGTGGGAACTTAGGGAGGAAATTGCGGGGCCCCTTGCAGAAATAGACCTATGACTCTGACTTCCTGGTGGGTAAGTTGTTAGAAATGATTCTGAAGGAGAGGATTTATGTGCATTTGGAGAGGCAAGGAATGATTGGAGATAGTCAGTATGGTTTTGTGCAAGGGAAATAGTATGTCTCAAACTTGAGCTTTTTGAGGAAGTAACCAAGATGATTGACGAAAGCAGAGCGGTAATCATCGTTTACTTGGATTTTAGTAAAGCCTTTGACAAGGTTCCACATGGTAGACTAATAAGTAAAGGTAAATTACATAGGACAAAAACAAAGTTGCTGGAAAAACTCAGCAGGTCTGACAGCATCTGTGAAGGAAAAAACAGAGTTAACGTTTCGAGTCCGGTGACCCTTCCTCAGAACACACCACTGATGTTGTTGTTGTTGTGTAAATTACATGGAATTCAGGGAGGGCTTGCTAATTGGATACAAAATTGGCTTCATGGCAGGAACCAGCGACTGATCATGGAGAGTTGTTTTTCAGACTGGAGGCCTGTGACCAGTGGTGTTCCACAGGGATCGGTGCTAAGTCCACTTCTGTTTGTCATATATCTAAATGATTTAGATCAGAATATACAAAGCATGGTTACTAAGTTTGCAGATGACACCAAGATTGGTGGTATGGTGGATAGTGAAGAAGGTTATCTAAGATTACAAAGAGATCTTGAACAAATGGGTCAATGGGTTAAAGAGTGGCAAATGGAGTTTAATTTACATAAATGTGATGCTTTATATTTCAGTAAAACAAATAAAAACAAGACTGATACAATTAGAAGTAAGGCCTTCGGCAGTGTTGTAGAACGGAGAGACCTAGGGGTTCAGGTACATAGTTCTTTGGAGTTTAATTCACGTATAGATTGGGTGGGTAAGAAGGCATTTAGAATGCTTCCCTTCATTGCTCAGACCTTGGAGTGTAGGAATTGCGACCTTACATTAAGGTTGGTGAGGCCTTTTCTGGAATATTGCATCCAGTTCTGGTCTCCTGTTATTGAAAGGATATTATTAAGCTACAGAGGGTTCAGACGTGATTTACCAGGATGTTGCTGGGAATGGAGGATTTGAGTTATAAAGAAAATCTGGATAGGCTGGGACTTCTTTCACTGGAGTGTAGGAGGTTGAGAGGTGAACTTAGAGGTTTATAAAATAATGAGAGGTATAGATAAGGTGATTGGCAGGTGTCTTTTCCCTAGGGTGGGAGATTTCAAGACAATGGGGCATATTTTTAAGCTGAGAGGTGAAAGATTTAAAGACTTGAGGGGCAATATTTTTGAGTGTGGAATGAACTTGGAGAGGAAATGGTGGGTATAGGTACAGTTACAACAAGTAAAAGACATTTAGATAAGTACATGAATAAGAAAATGTTTGGAGGGATAAGGGCCAAGCGCAGGCAGTTTAGTTTGGGATTATGATCGGCATGGACTGGTTGGACCGAAGGGTCTGTTTCTTGTGCTCAATGACTCATGATCCTCTAACCTCTCATTATGATAGCTGAAGTACTAAATTGAGAAGCACCAGTCAGTCTGTGTTCTACCAGTAGCATTAACCATCTAGAAATATATAGTCCGTGTTATACAGTTGATTCTGATAACGCGACAGTTCCATTCTCGTGTTATAAGAAAATCGTGCAATAACTGCAATATTTGAAGTGATGGGGATGGAATCGCATTATAGCCAATACAGGTAGGGAAAGTTCTACAAATAGCATTCGGTAATTCTTCAATCACATTAAAACCAATTTGTGTTGAAGAAACACGTATTATATCAGAACTGAGTATATTGACCTGGCTCTTTGTAATACTACTTGTAGTGTTAAAAGATTTTATCATATCAAAGCTGAGCAGCTTTGACAAACTTGGACCAAAATTTCGTGTAGCAGTAGAATCAATTGATTACTTTATTACTCCATTTTCTTCAGCCACTTCTAATCATTTCACCTTCATGAGTTTGCAGCCTTTCTAATTTGGAATTTTTATAGCTGATATTAGTTGATAACTGCCTTGTATGTTTGGATCACATTACCCTGTGACAATTTTATAATGCAGAAATAAACAGCTCAATGGCTTCATTAGAACAGAGTAATGTCATATGAAACTATTAAATGATCGTCAGTATTGAGTTCTCAGTTATTTATGGCCTTAGAATAATTGGTTAATTGCAGTAGTAGGCTGGATTTCACTGTTGGGCAATAGTTTGGAGTCAATAAAATGGCAAGTGAAGGTGGAAAATGGGGTGCTGCTGTCTTCCCACCACTGCGGCATTTACCAGCAGTGGGGGAGATTGAGGTTGGTCCTTTCACACAGGCGAGTTGACCTACTTGAGTGGCCAATTTGCCAGATAGGGAGATTGCCTTTTGAACCCTGGCATCTTCCTTGTAATCTGTGAAATGGCAGGCTTCACCCTCCTCATCAGGCAGCACGTGGATCACGGAAGAGACACTTGGTGTAATAGCTGACCCGTGACAACCGCCTTCACCTCACGAACACCACCACTCATAGGGACCTGACTGACTTTATACCAGCATTCTGAGACCCAATTTGCCATTTGCCTGATTCACTGGCTGCCTACTGCCAAGACAATCTCATCTCCCAGATGGAGTCCCAGCAGTGGCCATAGCTCCAAGTGACACGACTGAGATTTCTGAGCTCATTGCTGTTCATCAGCTCAATGATGAGGTCTCCTTAAAGTTACAAGTTTCTGCTGTGGGTCCTCATGTGACTGAAAGGCTAATTCTCAACTCTCACATGGAGCAGAACATCATACAAAATAGTAGGATCAGAAATGTGGAATTTGTTTCTTTTTTTTCTATCTCTGCCACCGTGCTGTCTCACCATTAAGACATTGCAAGTCACATTGTGATGTAGCTTGATGGACATGTTGTTGCCATTTTGAACGATTGTTAGCAAATTTATCCCAGTTATTAATGTTAATGCTGTTGTATTTCAGAGTGTCTTTGTAGTGGTTTTGTTTTCCTCCTGGAACACTGGCTATTTCAGAGTTGAGAAAACAAGACCTGGAGGGGGATTTGTTTTTGGCCATCCTCTCTGTGTTTGGTTCATGGCAGTTGATTTTGCAGGCATTTTGCCTGAATGTTTGTGGAGCTGGCTTGAAAAAGGACATTAGCATTTATTCAATGGTCCTCACATTTGAATCTGGACACATTGCTGGTGAAAACTCTGTAGCGCTCTTTATTTGTCACTGATACACATTTAGACATCACTGCAATATAGGAGTGCAGTGACAACAACCTCTGTGTTGCCTTTAACTTCTGTGTGAAGGTAATTGTCAAACACTCGTTTTCATAATTTGTAAAAGGATAATCTGATGGAGCTGATCCAGTATTTGATTGCCTCATCAATGATGGCCTTTTGAGATTTTTATTAAGAGAAGTAGGCAATGAAACTGCAGGCATCCACATGCTATAGATTATGTATGTCTCCGGTTATCAGTTTAGTTTTGGCATGGAGGCAACTGAGATTAAAGAGTTATACGTCTAGGTGGTACTTAATACTGACACTAGAGGGCAGTTTGTCTTTAAGATGAACACCCACTGTTAGGCTGATTGTAATTTGTGTGAGGGGCTATCTCACAATCATTGCTGGTCTGAATTTTGAAGGCATCTGTTCAGGACAGTTGCAATCATCTCATCATGAACCAGTCGCAGTATTGTGTCGAAGTTTTATGGAGATCCAAATCTCTGAAGCACAATCCACAGAATCTTGCGATTTACTGAGTTAAATATTATCGCTCAGTTCCTGGTGACATTGCTGAAAACACCAACCCTCTGGCTGCAAGTGGGGAGTGAGCATCTGTCCTTAAAAGTAAAGGAAGCCTCAAGGAGAACTAGATAGCTGCTGGTCAGCTGAAAAATGTGTTTGGGTGCCCCACAGCACCAGTAAAATTCCAACCAATTTCATTTGATTAAGAAGCCTGAAGAATAATCTGAGGTCAGGAGAGGAATTTCTCCTCATGTGAGGGTCAGCAAACCCCAAGTCTGTATCTAACCAAAAAAGACCTGAGCCAAAGCCTAATTGGCAACTCTTGCGCCTTTAACTTTAACCTTAAGTGTAAATAGCGCAACCTTCAGTGAATCTATGCTATAGCTGACCTATGAAAGTAATAGTCTATAAATCTGTGTCTAATTTGGTGCATCTTGATGGTTAAACTAAATACGAGAGCTGTACCTGCATGTTTTCACTGCTCTGAATTAGTGAGGTAAAAGTTAAATTTTGTGGGAATAAAACGAGTACAACAAAGACCTGATTCTGATGATCACTGTCCCTTGCCTAAATCATACTTGCTATATGTCTGACTTGTTACTCAGTTCAGCTATATTTTAAGACGTTGGTGGTGGCTGCTAAAAACAGGCTACACGTATAGCTTGTTCTAGCTTCCTCCTCCGAGAAAATGGATATCAAAGAATAGTATAAATGGCAAGAGGAAAGGCTGCCAAGAACAATTGAGGTTTTTAAAATTTCTTTTTTAAATATTCCTATGTGTCAAGAGGAACTGAAATAGTCCCACAACACCACAGTATCCTGTTTTTCCCCCTTTCCACAGTTACCATTTTACACATCACCCCACAATATACCTGTAGGCTGCTGACAATGAGGTAAGTGAAATAAAATTCACTCTTTTTAAAAAAGAGGGCAAGTTGCCTCAGATGATATGACAGGCACCAGTAATGTTAACCAGGTTGTAGTGTAATTCCAGTCTCAACTCCACGATGTCTCTGCTCTGTCAATTGGGGCATGTGCTCCTGCTTGGGTGGTTCCCATTTCAATGGTTATGTTACTGGACTAGTATTCCAGGGGCCTGCACTTATAGCCTTGAATTTGAAATCCCACCACATCAGTTGGGGAATTTAAATTTGATTAAATACAACTAGAGATACTATCACTAATGGTGCTATGAAACCACCACATTGTCTTAAAAGTTTATCTGGCTCATTTTAATGTCATTTCAAGGAATGCAGGTTTACTTCCTTGTGTGATTTAGCCTATATTTGACTCAAAAGCCACAGAAATGTAGCCGACAATTAGTTGCTTTCTGTAAAATGCCTAGTATCACTGTGAAGGGAGGATCATACTAGTAATTGACCACTATCCCACCGGTAGTACCATTTAGTATAGATGTTTGATTCACTGAAATGGCAATTCTTTCCTTTTTGCACTGCAATCCAGAATTTAAAGAAAGATTTGCACCAAATTAGGGGCATAAAAAAACATCATCTCTTATCTCAAAGCTTTGCTGACTTTTTTCATAGCCACTTTACTTTCTCTAATTAGCAGGGGGATTGTATCCCACATTAAGTATCGACCTCATCTCCAAAACAAAAACACAAGTTCCCACCTCCCTTGGTTTAAAAATGTCCCTTTTCAACCAGACAATGTCCAGATAGTTCTAATATCTTCGAGTTTCCTGAAGTCCATAAATATAAATATACAGTCCTAACACTAGCAAGCTGCTCAGTTAAACTCCAATAGATGGCTAAAAAATGCTGGCCTAGCCAGAAATATCCACATCTCATCAATGGATATAAAAGAATATCCATCTGTGTAGATATTTAATATGCTAATGTTGCATTCCTGTGTCTTTCTTTTTCTACAGGAAGTAACCATTTTTAAAACAAAAGAATTAACACCTGTTTAAAAATAGCGCACAAGAATGTGGTTGAATATTGATGAGCGAAGTTCACCAGTCAACATTCCTATCTATAGTTCTTTTAGGAACATGTGCTGTACTTGTTAAGTTTGAAACAAAACTTTACATACTGCCTGTTATTGTCTTATTCAGTGTTGATGCAGTGAATTACGGTGTGCAATTTGATTTAGTCATTTTGAGGTTTTCTTTTGTATAGTTTTGAAATCAGCAACAGGTGGTTCTTTTGTCTCACCTGTACAGTGTCAGCTTACACTTTCAGAGTTGTTTCATTGGTACTGTGAATGGAGCGAAGATTGATGAGACATTGCTCGATGGGTTATAGTCTGATGTTGCTTTAAACTATGATTGTTCTGTTCTTTTTACACTGACAATGATTTATTATAGACCTTAGTCAGTTATTATAGGACAAGTTGTTTACTTATTAAACATTACTTTGTTAAACCTTCATTCAGTGTATGTTTTAACCAGAAGTTGCATGGAATTGGTTCTTTTCCATAGTGTGGCTTTCATTTGCAAACCCCAACATAAATATGCTCACATTTTTACACTCAAAAACTCTACATGGATTGTTAATTGAAGCATCTGGTTTATAATTTTATTCAGCTTTTTAACTTTTATCAGTTTTCTTTCTCCATCTCTCAGTGCAGAATCTGCTTCAGTACAATTCTTCAAGTGTGAGTTTTTTTCCCGTTAATCTTACCTATATTTTCTTCCATTTTGTTAGCAAATAGAGTAAGTCAGTCAGCCAGGGCCAGATTAGGTCAATACAAGGCCCTCCACTATGTCAAACCTAAGAACCCACATAGCATTACCAAAAAAGTGTATTATTTCAACAGAAAGGGCACTGATAATAAAAATATCAAAGCTTTATGTTTGTATATATACAGACATGAAGGCACAATGAAAGACTAATAATCTGACTAAAACATATATCTTGCAATAAGCTTATTTGCTGTATGAAATGCTTTCAAATTAAAAAACTTTGATTTCTTAGCATATATGAGAACTTCTAATTTATAACAACACGAGCAACTACACAGAACAGTACTTAGCAAATGGAAGCAGCAAAACAATGCATATAACTTCAAACAATTTCTCTCTTGATTTTTGGACAACAAAATCACTGACATGCTCAAATGGTGAACTCTTAAGCATTCCACCTTTTTGTGCATGTAGTGATAGGCCATGCAGCTAATCTTGAAACATTGTTGTCAACCATTCATTCTAGATGCTTTTCAGCCATGAAAATGACCTTTCTCCTCAGCAGGGTGTTACTAGCAGATGCAAAAAAATCTTTAATCAGAAGCTGTACACCTTTTTATACAGTTTTTTTTTAGTGCAACATTGTTGTATTTGATTTCTCTTTTCTTTAAATTGGTTTTATGTGCATCCATCATAAGATTAAAGGACGTCACTGAAAACTTATTTCTTGTACAAAGTGCTCTAATCAGATTAGGTGCATCACCATCATTGACTTTTTTCTCATTTTCCATTTATTCACACAAATGTGGTAGATATAAAAGTTTTTTGTTTTGCTTTGAATTCAATTTCATCAAAATGCTTTTGGATTTCTCTTAAGAAATGAGGAAATGATGTGTAAAACTTTGCACATTTGCTAAGGGCTACCTGTGCATCCTGTAGTGCCTTGCTGGTTTGAGGAGCTGATCTAACAAACAATTCCAAAGTTCCAACATGAACAAAAACTCTAATTCCTCTATTTTTCTTTTGTAGAATACCAGTTTCACTCCTTGTTTAAACTTTTTCACTGTCATTAATGTTCAGGTGAATAACAGCAACAGTAATTGAACCATAAAATGTGGATAATGCTGAATTCGCCATTTCATGTGCTTCCCATCTGGAGTCTGAGATGTTTTGGTACGCTGGAGTCAGGACCCAAAAACGATTTGAGTACTGTCCAGCATTTTGTAGAGGCAGAGAAGAATGTGTTTATTTGTTACACCGCAGCAAAGAAAATTGCAGCATCTAGGTAGCGATCAACTACACCATGGCCAAAAAGATTCAGTGAATGTCTAGCATGTGGAATATGTAAAGCATGCTTCTTTTTGTCTCAATGTTTTTGCGGCATGCCATTATACCTACCCAACATGTTAGCTGTATTATCATATGACTGTCCTTTGCCATTAGTGAATTCAAATTTACAGTCATGGCCTAAATAGTCCAGCATCATGTTAGCCATACCCTTACCACTTTGCTTTTCTAACTTTTCTTGAATTAGAAAAGCATTTATGAGGGGAGCAAAATCATTGGGTGATGCATGTCTTACAAGAGCAGGTAGTTAATTAGTATCTGAAAGATCTAGAGTACAGTCAACAAATAAACTGAAGTGTCCTGCTTTTCTTAAGTGTTCTAAAAGTGGCCAACCTTACTCTTTCAGCCATAAGTTGAAATGAATTTATCACATAATTTTAAACAAATCGAAAAATTCATAGATTCACTGTTTCTGACAGGTTTCATATCGTTGGCAAGAAATAGATCAAACTTAACAATAGTTCTTTCAAGCCAAAAACTTTCAAGCCTGTTGTGCTTTAAGCCAAACTTTCTATTACCTCCTCTAAAAGCTAGTGCATGTTCTACTAATATGCACACAACTGCAGGAACACATCATGTTAATGAGTATCGTAGTCACATTTACACTTGTATCATCAATCCTAATGGAAGAGGTGGACGCTTGTGGTTGCTCTGGACCTGACTGACTTGCTTGAATATGAGATCCTTCCTTTTTTATTGCAGTGAAATGCTGTCAATCTTTTGGTCATTGTCTTAACAACCCTTCAGGCTGCTGCTTTTCGTTCATCTGACATTCACTTCCAAAAATTCTCATCATTTTTAACAGGCCTCACTATGATAATGAGGAAAATAATCACTAGGCAAGTTCTTTGAACTCAGTACAAGTAGAAGTAAAGAGTGCAATGCATACAATTCAATAATATTTCTTTACCAGGCTGGTATCAAGGAGGTGAGTTTGTCATGTTTTAATTGTTTTTCAAAAGTATATTTATTGTCATGAAACAGCCGTGTCAGGCACTTTCTTTTAAAAATCAAACCATCTAAATGGATCATGTGATATCAGAGGTCAAGGGAAAGGGATAGCACTTTAGAGGTGTGTTGAATTGTTTTATTGCAGTTATTTAGGTGAGACCCAGGAGCTTGGAATCCTAGTAATCTGAGTACTGCACTTCTTGAATGGAGGTTGGCAGTAAATCAGAACTTACTTGTGTTTAATATGTAAGCTGGATTCTTTCATATAATAATTGTTTAGCCATATAAGCATATTCTTGTCATATGAGAATGTAAATGTATTTTAGAAAGTTATTTCACCCCATCTCCTTTGGTTGAAATTTAGTCTTTTCATTCATATTTAAATGTCCCTTACATAATTTATGCCTAAATCTAGCATTGTTCTCAGCTGTAGCATTTTAGAGGCACTGCATCCAAATCCAATGCAGTTTTCACTTGACATCCCCACAATTTCCAGTAAAAGTCGTTAGTATACTTTTTATCTGCCGTTTTTCAAGTAATCACACAGTCCATGTGTTCAAGTCGTATTGATTGAATAATATCTGGGCTTGAGTTGAGATGTTGCAAATAACATAAATTGCACAAACTTTCCAGACAAAAACCGGTCCTATTAAGGGAATCTAACCACCTCCCTGTTATATTTGATAACACTGCTTTGCTGAATCACCATTCCATAGATCTCTAGAGGTCACAATTGACCAGATGTTCAACAGGAACAGCCATTTAATGACATGACTAGATGAACAGATCAGAGGCTGGATATTCTGCAGCAACTGACCCACCTCCTAACTTCCCAAAATGTGTCTGTTACATGAGTGTGATTGAATGTGCTGCTCTTTTCTGGATAGGTGCAACTGTAACAACACTTAAGAAGTCCCACCAAGACAAAGCAGTGCATGTGACTGATATCTTGCCATTTCATCTAAACATCCAAACCACTTGACACACACAACTGGTTCTCTACCTTTTACCTACACCATCCAGAAGGATAAGGGTAGCAAGCGCTTTGGAACACCATCACCTGCAAGTTCTGCTTCAAGAGACATGGTCTCCTAATTTGCACACACATTACCATTTCTTTATTGTCTCTGTCTCAAAAGCATTGATCTCCTTGTCTTATTGCACTGAGAGCTTAATTGAGAAGAAACAGAATAATAAAAGTAAGTATTGGTCTTCTAGCGAATAAGGCTGGAGAGTTCATAATGGCATTTAAATTGAACAGATTTTGCATTTGTATTCACTATAGATGACACAAATAATTATTTCAGAAATAATTGTAAATCAAGTGGAAAAGTGGGTGGAACTTAAAACCCTTACAATTCTAAGGAAAGGGTACTGAGAAAGTTAATGGAACTAAATGCTGACAAGTCTCCAGGTCCTGAGTGAATTCATCCTAGGATCTTAAAACATGTGGCTGCTGAGATAATAGATGCACTGGTTTTAATTTTCCAAAAATTGCCTAGACTCTGGGAAGGTTGCATGAGAATGGAAAACAGTGAATATACCCCTTCAGTTCGAGGTTGGAGGAAATAGAATGCAGGAAACGTCAGGCCAAATAGTGTTTCATCACTTAAGGAATACGCTGGAATCTATAATACGGCACTTAGAAAATTTCAATGCAATCACGCTGAGGCAATGTGGTTTTGTGAAACTGAATTTGACTAACTTATTAGAATTCTTTGAGGAAACTCCTAGCAATGTGGATAAAAGGAAAATTGTAGAAACAGGGTACTTGGATTTCTTGAAGGCATTTGACAGAAGATACATGCCAAATTAAACATTACTACACCAAGTAAAACCTAATGGTGTTGATGTTAAAATATTAGCATGCATTAAGGTTCAGTAAACTAACAAGAAATAATAGGAATAAATGGGTCATTTTTGGATTGGCGAGATAAAATGAGTAGAGTCCCGTAGGGATCATATGAACATAAGAATTAGGAGCAGAAGTAAACCATTCAGTCCCTTGAGCCTGCTCCACT